GGTGGCTTCTGTGAGAAGCTGCTGGAAGCACACAGAGCTGGTCCAAGGGGTGGTCCAAGGGAGTAACACCTCTGGAAAACAGATTTAAGAATGGGGGGCAGAACTGCACAGCTGCAGGCAGGAGAGAGGAGGGAGGAAGTGTGAAAGGAACAGCTCTGCAGAGCCAGGATGAGGGGAAGGAGATGCTCCAGGTGCCAGAGCTGAGATTCCCCTGACGCCCAAGGTGGAGCTCAAGTGAGGCTGAGCCCAGGAAGAAAGGAGGGTAACACGGCTTGGGTATAAACATTTCATTTCATTGCGGCTTGTAAACAAAACATCAGTCACAGCACAGTTCAGCCTCTCCCCACTTCAAGCCTGAACACATAAATTAACTTCTCTTCAATGTTAATGAGTATTATTCTACTCACTTGCTCCTTGATCTATGAAACACTTATTGTCTCACTTCATAAAATACGTTTCCTGCACACCAAGCATTTTTCTCAATAACGTTCCTGCTCATTAGTATAAGGAACAATATTTTATCTGGTTTCATATATTGAAAATCTGGGACCAGGCTTTCAGTGAAAGCACTGGAAAATGTGTGAACAGGAAGTAGAGGTTACTAAGAAGAGAAACTACAAAACTTAAAGGCACTGAGTGAGGACAAATTTTCAGGAAGTCACAATAGTCATGACAGGGCAATCCTAGGAGTAACATCATCCACCTCAGACTGTTCTACCAAAAGATTGTGTTTGTTTCTCAAACTTTCACCTGAGTTCATGTCAAAATTAGTCCAATACAGCAGTGAAAACCAGTACAGTGTTCTTCTCCTTGGGAGATTGCAGACAGCTTAGCATCATACTCAAAATTTTTTACCCTTGCTGTAGGTGAAGGAATTTAAATACAAGGAGGTGTAAAAAATGACCATGTCTGTTCTGAGCTGGGCTTAACCACTCGTAGTCACTGCTGTGAGGAGTTCATCCATTCCACATGGTTCCACCAGCACCACTGACTTCCTGTCACACACAGTAGGAACCAGAAAACAATCCTACATAACAGGGGAAAAAACTAAAAGCCATGATAGTTTATTATTAATTTCAAAATCCAGGAGATTACAAAGATTCTGGAAGAGAGGGAACATTTGTCAGTGCCATCCTGAGCCTTCCTGCACAGCTCTTTCAATCTGCCCTTTTCCTCCTCAAGGAGGACTTCCAATAAATCTCACACATTCCCAGCATGGAGGGATCCTGCCATGACCCCTGGGAGATGACACAGATCAGATTTGTTCACAGCCCAGCCCAGCAACATCCGCAGCTCAGCTGAGTGCCTTGGGTGAGACACAAATGTGGAGTCCAAATTTAGAGAAAAAAGAAGAGATCCTCTCTTAATCTGCTCCACATATTCAGCACAAGAGACAGATAAAAGAGGCGCCACAGTCACTGGGAGGTCAGAGCACTCAGCATCTTCCAGGAGGTGATCACCTCCCTGGACCAAGGCATATTCCTTTTTCCCTTAGGGGCCTCCATAACTTTCCCCCAATAAAATGAAACTGCAGTTATCCACATTAACTTTCTCTGGGCTGAAGCTTTCAAATGTGAATCTTTCTGCCTCAGATCAGAGGGTCCTGATGCCATCACTAACGAGTGAGAAACTTCCAGTGAAAATTTATTAAAAATCCACTGTGGCTTAATATACTTCAATAAAACTCACTCTTTTCCTCCTAAAGAAAAATTCCTCTTAAACCATAGGTTCTCCTGCTGCTTCAGTTTTCTGGAAAGCCCATGAAGTTAAACCCATCCATGGCTGCTTTGGTTATTATGCAAATTCCAGCCATCAGAGTTATATAAGTGCTTATGCAATGAAAAGAAACATAATACACAAACCTGCCCATGTCACCGAGAGTTATTTACAAGAGCTATAAATCAAAGTTCTGTTTTGCTTTATATTGAAGGGCCTACTGCAGAGGCAAAATGTCATATATGCCCAAAATTTGCTTTCAGTCACTTCCCCCTCCCAAAGAAAAAGAAAACTACAATTCAGCTGCCTGCTGAAGGCTATTCCTTAGTCAGAGTCCATGCAAAATTGTATTAGAAGCTTTGAAGTTAAAACATGAACATTGACTACCAGGGAGGGCCCTAAAGACAAAGACATTTACTGAATGTAAATGTTCAGTGAAGACAAAGGTCACCTTCTACTTTCCCAAAATCAAACCATGTTGGAAACTCTACATCCTGCTCTCAGGTTTTGCTTCTGAGCCAAAATCTTTTCATGGAAGGAATCAGCAGTGAAATGTTATTAACCTTGGTGATTGATTACGTTGTAATTGCCAAGTTATGATAACCTCAGAGGCCATGGGACGCTCAGCAGAGCCTCAGCTGGTGGGACACAGGAATCTGATTCATCCCAGCTCCAGAGCAGATGGGGCATGAGCAGAGGAGCTGCTGGGCAAGCCAAGCCTCCAGCCTGCAGGAAATGAGGTTTTATCTCAGCTGATGGCTTTGGGCCAAATCAAGCAGGAAACAAACCCTTTTGAAAATGCCCACAAACTGGAAATTCCCAGAAGGGTCACTTCAGACACATCAAAACACCATTCCCAAGTTCCCAAGGCTGCAGCTGATCGGTGACATTGTCCCTAGCAGCAGCAGCAGCACACAGCAGCTGAGGGAGCTCCCAAAGCTCCCTGGCTCCTGTGCAGAGGGTGCTGAGGACACCCTGGGGAGGCTGCCCAGAGCCACAGCTCCACGGCAGGGAGTGCAGGAGCTCCAGCAGTCCAGCCTCAGCCAAGCTCTCAGTGCTCCCAGCCATGGAAATCACTGTGGAGCTCAGGCTCCCAACTCTTCCCTGCTTTCAGCTTCACACAGCCTTTGGAAGAGGTAGCCCAAGGCCACCAGCTGGAGTTTTGAGCCCCCAGACCCTGGATAGAGAACTCCAAGGCAGAGTTGCCTGGGTTGAGCTGCTCCAGGAACCAGGAAAGAACTCCTCAAATGGGATAAGTTCAATGAAAACATGTCAGGATGTGCTATTTCCAGTTAAACTTGGACCAGTTCATCTCCAAAGGCTTAACTCTCCACTCCAAAACCCAAAGGCTTTACTCTCCGCTGCTTACCTTCATCCAAAGTCTTTTGTATTTATGACACACAGGGAAAAGAGCTTATCCAGACCAGCTTTTGGATCATGAGATAAGCGTCTGACACCTTTATTTACAGATAACAGAAACTCAGCAGCAATGCCTTTGGCTGCCCTGTGTGCCCTGGTTGTTCCCTTCCACCTCCATACCACAAGGAGCCTCCTCAGATCTCCTGGCAACTGTTCACAGAGTTGAGATGAAGAAATGTCAAACTTTGGGAATAAGCTGGAGTTTGTGCTCTTATAGAAAGGTAAATTATGCACTGAGAGCAGGGTAAAGCAAAGACAAAGTGTGGCCTCTGTATTTGCACATCTGCTTCAGTTCACACTCCAAGGGAGATTTGTTATTAAAAACTTCAGGTAACTGATCTGCATTTTGAAGAATGTGAAGGAGAAGCAGTGCTGCCCAGGAGCCACAGCAGGACAGTGTGACACTTGCTCTTGGTTCTGCAGTGAAGATTAAAATCTTCAAAGAATCAGTTCTTTTCTGAATCTCTACTCTGTGATCCAGTGCCCTGAAGGTCCCTTATTTACTTCTCACCCCTTTTAACAAAGAGGGTTTCAATGAAGTTTTTCATCTTTATCTAACCCTTTTTCTCCTTGCTGAGCACATTACTTACTTGGAGATATTTTAATGCAACACTGCAATTACATTTCTTCTGCATTTTACACTTAAATGATCACATGAATTAAAAAAGAATGCACAGAGGTCTGTGTGCATGGGGATGGTGGTCTGAGCTGGGTTCTTCTCCAGGCCCTTTTTTTCAGCAGTTTAACTGCTCTGATAACCTTTGTTCCCAGCTGTACCTTTGAAATCTGGTCACTACAGCAGAAAGCCAGGCTTCCTTACTCAAAAAGTCAAAAATTCAACCTGAATCAGCAGTTTTTCCCCACTGCAACAGCTGTTCTGGCCCAAAGTGATTTGAAAAATGTAAGAGCCTTTCAAAGTACTGCCAAATGAAAGTTCTGGATTAGTAGATCCCAACCAATTAATTATCTCATCATCACCCTTTAGACTGAAGGAGGTACATAGGGGATGATTTAAGGCCATACTTATCTTTTATAATTTCTTTTAAAACAGCCCCACAGACAGAGGTCTGTATTTATCCAAAGAATCTTAATGTGTTGGCTAAACTTCAGGCAGAGATTTAGGTTAATGCACCTCATCTATCCTGTTAAAGTAGCAATTATGCATCTGGAAGAAAAGTGTTTCCAGGGCCCCTGAAGTCTGTGCCAGTAAAGCACCAACTGCAGCTGCAATTTACAAGAAAAGAAAAGTTAGAGCAACAACTCTACAATTTACAAACCAGGATTATAAACAAAATATTCCCAATGCAAACACTTCACTGATAGAATTGTGGGGACAGGGAGATCATCTCATTTAGTACAAAAAACCTCAATACCCCCCTCCCCCCCCAAATCCCACGTGTGACTCTAAACATGTGTTTGAAAATACCAAAGAACTATGACATTTTTGTTCTGCCAGAAAAATGATCACATCTCGATTGAATACTTTGCCTTCTCATTTCCTTTTCCAAGCTGAAATGTCAACTATTTTTAAGTAAAATGCAAATATTACCCAACCACAAAGCAGAAGAGAACCTTGCTGCCTCAGCTGTCCCTGAAAAGGTGCATTCCAGTTCCACACTTGCAGTTTTACCATGAAGAAAACAGAGATGAAACCTTTCCAAGTGCTTTGCTGCCTAATGACACCACCACCAGCATGTTATTAAAGCTCAACACTCTGACACTGCAGTCATTACATCTGCAAACACCAAGACATTATGGCAGGAGAAAACAATCCTTTTATTGAAAGCAAGGAGGTCTCACTGTGACAGGTGAATGTTTTACTCCCGAGATGAACCCCATATACATAACTATTTTTATGCAGTTTTCATGTTCCATTTACACAATTTTCTGGCTTAAAAGGCTTTAACAGTCAATCAAGGGTTCAAGCATTAAGCTGCAGAACAGAAGAAAATTATATTGTGTTCTTGAAGTCAGGTAGATAAACAACACCTCCTGATTGTGATGGTACCATTATGTGCCTCAGGATGAACAGAGAGAGAAAACATTCACCTGGTTTCATATTCCAAATACTTGCTGAGATTCATGTATAAATGGATGAAAGAACAGAGAGGGTTATTGTGTAATATGTTAATATCATAAAGTCAAATTTATGCAAACCAGGAAAAAAGGAAAGTGGGGTTTATGTCTTTTGTGGAGTTCTGCCTTCCTGAATTTGTGTTTATTATTCTGACAAGCTACAAAAATAAAAGATATAAATACAGAGACAACAGTAAATGTGTATCTTTTCTTTTGCAAGTAAACTGTCACAATATTATGCTCATTAAAAAGCTTTCTAAAACTAATAGCTCAGTGAAACACTAGAGTTAATGGCTTGAGATAAATATCTTGCAACAGAGCTGTTTAAGCCACTGTAAAAACAAACCTCTTAAACAGCAGAAGCACAAACACCAAGCAAACAACAGAGAACCTGTGTTCCCTGAAGTCACTTTGCAGACTTGCACTGACTCCAGGAAGAACTAGATCAAAATAAAAGCTTTCACTTTGTTTATATTTCCTTTGGGGCTGAATCTTCCTTTATTTCCTTGCTACACCCAGCCAAAGATGGACTCATCCTAGAGGAAAAAAGTGATAAAAATGAGTTGTACATTCCCATTAATATTAAAAAAAGTCTCTATATCAAGTGGGGCAAATGAAGACTGTTCAGATTCTTTAGATTGTGCTTTAGACCACCAGGAAAGGATTTGGCTCAAGAAGAAGGCAAAAAACCTCCCTTTGCCTTGGCAAAGCACAGAGCCCTCCCTGTGAGGATGGAGCTGCTCTGGCCCCAGATCTGAAATCTTGAAAATATTTGAGCTCAATGTCAGTAATACTTTAGAATATAACTGACACTTATTATAATAACACACTAAACAAGATCAGTGCATGTTTTTAATATTAATAATTTAATATTTTAGGGGGTTTTGGGCCTTTAATAGACTGCCTACATACCCTGTCCAGGTATGCCCCATTCTGTGACCTCTGGATCCTGTCAGAGCCTGCAGGAGAACATCAGGTGGAGGAAAATCATCATTTGCAGTCACATGGAATCTAATCTTAATTGCAACATTCCAAGGAGTAAATAGGTAGCATTAAAATTGAAGTAGACTTTTGTTCTCTCAAAAAAACCTATTTATAGAGGCAATAAAATGCAGCATTAATTTTCTAGATTTATTAATCTAGGGAAAATAAAAAAAGAAGATAAAAATGAACCCAGTTTATACAGACTTGTTGATCCCTATCTAAATAGCTTCTAGAATTATTCCATTTGCTTCTTGATTAATGAAAAATTCAGATCAATAGGAGACTTATCTCCTAGATTTGATGTTAAGCAAAATCTGCTTATTAGAAAGAAGGTATTAGAATTGATGGTTTTCACTGAAATAGGACTTAATAGACTAAAACTCCTGAGAAAGGGGGTAAAATTACAATTAAGGATAGAGTAGGAGGGGAGGAGGAGGGATTGGTTGGTTGGTGAGGTTTTCCAAGTCACTGGAAATTATATATAAAGAAAATGCTTTTTCTTTACAAGAAATGAGCGGCTGAAAATGGGAAAAACCCTGTCCATAAATCCAAGGTTAAACAGCACATGGTGATCCATAACAAACAGAAAAGCAGCCATTAGAGTAAGATGGCAAATCAACCCAGGAAATCATATATAAGCAGAATTTGGGATTTTTTTTCTTACAATAACTTTAAATCTAATAACCTATTAAAGATTTATCCTCCTTTTTTCTCAATACTTGTTCTTCTTTTTCTTGAAATCAAACAGACAAATCCAGGAAGATTTTTTTTTTTTTATTCACTGTTCTACACATCCATGGATGTGTGTGTCTTACACATAGATATATGTCCAACATATACATTAATAGTTTTGCACACACACTTCTGCAGTGATCTCAGCTGTGGGAGAAAGCACATGGAACAATTTCCATGGGAGGAGAGATTCACTAGCACAAAACACATCTTAGCACAAAAATATGACAGAGGCCAATGGAACCTTGAATAGGAATATGAATAGCACATGATGAATAATTAACATCATGTAATAATTCCAGAATTAATCAGGAACTGGGTATAAAGCCAACAGAAGAAGTGTTTTTGCACACAATGCAGAATATTTGCACAATAATTGCAGAAGAAGTTGTTGAAGCATATTTCAGTGGAATTTCTCCAATGATATCCACTGTTGAAGCATATTTCAGTGGAATTTCTCCTCCTATTCAATGACATCCACTGGGGTAGAGATTTCTGTTCTGAACCAGAATTGCACTTCTTTTGTTCTCATGATGAAGATTTTTCAGGGTGTATTTTCTTGCCATGTGTGTGGAAATCTAATCCAACATTCTACCAAATAAGACACTGCCTGGAATGGTCCTACATTTTGGGATACACCCCAACATGCCCCCATGTGGAAAACTTCCATCAGCACCAATGCAAAGGAAGAAAAAGTGCTGTGGCTGAAAGTGGCATTTTAAACTTGCCTGGTAGCTCTTCATGGATTATATAGTCTTTTTCCTAATAATTCATCCAACTGTGAAGCCAGAAATTCCAATTCCATTTGTAAGCATACACTGTATTATCTTAAATTGTGCAGCAGCTACAATGCCTCTAATTGAAATTGGCTGAATGCAGAGCACCAGTTTTAATTCCCAAGTCATTTTCCAGTAATGAAAGAGCTGCATTCAGGGCACAGAGTGAGAGCATGTTCCATGGTTTTGTTAAATTGTGTTACAGCAACCTTTGGGGAGCATCTAATTTATTTATTGTATGTATGAAATCAACCACTATTTTCCTACGTGAAAAAATGAATTATTATTCATACAACTACTGCCTTGGACCCATCTGTGAATAAGTTTAATTACATATTTCACATGTTCAGAAAAACTTGCAGATGTTTGACGTGCGTGTCTTTAATGTCAGGCTGCAGCAAACACTTCCACCATCCTTCCTCCAAATTAACACACACAAGACCCTCCATGAAACAAAGGAGTTTTTCCAAAAAAAGCTGGAAGTGCCTGAAGCATGGAATGAATTCCATTTGTGAGTTGTAAAACCTACTACCCAAAAAAACCCAGCTGAATGGACCTTAAACCTTGGAATCTTCACTTGTATTAATAATTTGTTTTCTCTAGTAAAATAAAACATTAGCAGTTCATTTCCTACCTTCTCCATCAAACTGGCTGCAGGTCAACAGTCGACTTCTGAACCTTTCATTTTCCTCAAGCATTTTTGAAATCACTTTCCAGACTTTGTGCCAGACTTTGGACTGAAAGATAAAATGTGAAGCATATAAAAAGTTTGCATTAAAACATCTATAGGGCAGAACTCTGAACTCTCCACAATGACTATGAAGTCCAGCTGGGTTTTTCTGTTGAGGACTGGGAAAGAAGGGAAGAAGAAATGTGGGATATATGAAAGAATCACCTCTATTTAAAAGTCAGAAACATAAATTCCTCCATGATTTTTCACATGAAATCTCCACCTCCTTTCTTGCCTAGAACTCTTGTGTTCATCCAGGACTTGAGAAAGCTCATGAAAACATGTGTAGAGCCATTAAACTCTATTCAAAGTCATCCAAAATGGGAGAAAAAAAAAGATTGTGTAGTTTTCCAGGAGCAAAAAGTTTCCCATGTGGTCCCTCAGCAGCAGCATAAGCGAGGCCCAAACTCAGATTCCAGAATAGCAACGCTCTTGCCTATCTCATATCAAATCCATATTCATTTGTTTTATAGATGTTGAAAACCTTTATTTTAGAGGCATAAAGCTCTGTCTGTAGTGAGGAGGTTTCAAACTCGTGCATTGGAAAGATTACATTGGAATTGTGGACAAAAGCATTCAGGCAGAGGTGGCCTAACAAATAGAAATGGCTGTTGACACGCTGATGTTTGGACTTTTGCCAGACCTCATCTGAGAAACTTGCTTAAATCTAAAGGTAATTCCTTTCTTGAGGACGTTTATTGCTAAAGCATTCTGTATATTCCTCATTGTTTTTGAAGACTATTCAATGCACCAGGACAGCCATATTCCAGGATGTTATTAGCTGTTCCTCTACAGTTGGTAGCATTTTGCTGTTTTTAAATCAAGTATCTACGGCATGGCTCTGTTCTAGTCCAGCTGATCACTTGTACTTCACACATTACAGAATCTCATAATGAGTTACTGCTTAACAAATGTTCCTCTTAAAATTTTAAGCATTTGTCGAACTACTGAACAGGAACAGAAACATTTGTGAAGCAGAAAGTAATTCTGCATTGCTCCAAGGATGGCGTTAATAGCTCAGGTTCCTGCCTTCGCTCATCTGTAACCCGTGGGATTTCTTTGTTTAAAACATGAGAGGAAGAGGAGCTGCAGATCTTTTTCCTGCTGGGTTTCACCCCAAGGTGTGCTGCACCTTGGCCCCAATCCAGCAAAGCATTTCAGTACAGGCTTTTTAAGTCAACAGCATACTCTCATTTTTCAAGGTAAGCACACACTTAAGTGCTTTATTGAATAAGAGCCAGAATTTTAAAGCCTCCAGAGAGGGAAGATAATACCATTTTTTCTTTTCTGTAAGTAAGGCTTTCAGTAACAGGCTACCAATTCCATCTTTTAATCTCCCTCGTGCTCTCACACACAGAGAACAAGCAGCTTTCTCAAATGCCAAGGCAGCTAATTGACCTGCCACACTTTATACCTTTTTCTTCTTTCGTTTAATGACTTTATCAACGTTTCTTGAAGGGATGGGAAAGTCAAAGGTGTCAGCCTTAGCCTCTCGAGGGTCACCTAGAAAGAGTTTAGAAAGCATTTTTTGAGTATTTAGAATATGTTCCTGAGGAAGATGTTGATCACTGGCACAGGTTGCCCAGAGAAGTTGTGGCTGCCCCATCCCTGGAAGTGTCCAGGACAGGTTGGATGGAGCTCTGAACAGCCTGGTCTGGTGGAAAGTGTCCCTAGGAAGGGGGTGGAACTGGATGATCTTTAAGGTCCCTCCCAACCCAAACCACACTATAATTCCAGAGGGATCCTTATTTCTGGTCACTTTACAGGGTATCAATCCTGACATCCTGCATCTTGTTCCCTTCTTCTTTACTCCATTATAACCATGGGGCAGGCGAGTGTCTCTCAAATACCACAAAACAGATTTCAAAACTACACAGCACTCACACATTAGACAACAGGCTTCTGGGAGCTTTTAATTCCCTCTCTTTCCCAGAACTGGACACAGCAATCGAAGAGTGACCTCTCCAGTGCCCAGAAGAGGGGAAGAATCACCCTCCCGAGTTTTCCTGGTACAATTAAGACAACGCTTGAGCCACCTCCGGCCCTCAGAGAACCCGGCACAAGGGGATGTCCTGGTGTCTCACGTACCGCTGCTGGTGCGGCTGCCGGCTCTCGCCTCGCCGCCGCTGCCGCCCGGCCCAGGACTGCTCCCGGTCCGCGGCTCCGGGGCGGCCCTCGGGGCCCCAGCCCGGCCCGGGAGGCTCTGCCCGGGGCTCTGCCGCCAGCCCCGGCCCAGGCGGATCACGGTGCCGCAGCGGTGCGAGCCGAAGCTGTTCACGTACACGAGCGGCACGGGCGGGCGGGCGCGGCGGCCGCGCTCCATCTGCGGCGGGGCCGCGGGCATGAGGGAAACCGGGGCTGGGGGCTGTGAGGGTAGCCGGAGATTGAGGCTTAGTGAGGAGAGACGAGAGTTGGTGAGGGGAGCGGGGGCTGAGGGGAACCGGGGACTAAGGCTGAGTGAGGGGAACCGGGGGCTGAGAGGAGCCGCAGCTGAGGGGCGGCGAGGGGAGCGGGGGACCGAGGGGTCGCTGAGGGGAGCCGGGGCTGAGGGGCGGCGAGGGGAGCGGGGGACTGAGGGGTCGCTGAGGGGAGCCGGGGCTGAGGGGCGGCGAGGGGAATTCAGGCGTCAATGAGGGGAACCAGGGACTGAGAGGAGCCAGGCTGGGGGTCTGTGAGGGGAACCGGGGATAGCTCAGTGAAAGGAGCCCAGGGTTGTGAGACCAGCCCGGACTGAGAGGGCAGCGAGGTGAGAGGAGTCGGGGACTGAGGGGAGCCGGGGGTCGGTGAGTAGAGCAGGGACTGAGGGGCTGCATGTCCCCCTGTCCCTAGGCCAGGGCTAGAGTTTAGCATACATTACTGCTGCCCGAAGCACGTATTGATACATTTCATGGAAGTTATTGATCTGTTTGTACCAGTGCTAAAAGGACTGCGGGCTGAAGGTTGTTTGATGGCTTGTTTGTCTCTACAGGGGGGAACCCTGGCATCCCTTTGGTGTGGGTGCTGCTGCAGTGCCTGCACTGACACAGGGATTTCCTCTCCAAACAGTGCACCCACTCCAGCCACGTGCTGAACAGTAATGAAACATCAAATACCTTATTGACCTTCAGGCAGCAACAGATGTGTGACACTGACAGGATGCCTGGCAGGTCAGTCCAGCCCATGCAGAAGCTCAGGGTCCCATTGCAGCCATGGGTTTTGTTGGCTATGTACGGTGACAACTGGCATTCTCAAACCACTGAAGAGCTCAAGTCAGAATCGTGGAATGGTTTGGATTGGAAGAAACCTTAAACACCATCCAGTTCCATTCCCTGCCATGTGCAGGGATACCTTCCATTATCCCAGGTTGCTCTAAGCCCCATCCAACCTGGCCTTGAACACTTCCAGGGATGGGGCAGCCACAGCTTCTCTGAGCACCCTGTGCCAGGGCTTCACCACCCTCACAGGGAAGAATTTACATCAAGTTCCACTGATGTTTTCTTTGTCACTAAAATGCTGCTCCAGATTACTTCCCAGAGTTCAGTTTGCACAGAGCTGCAAATTAGAAATAATAAATTCTATGAAAATGTCTGTTTTTCATAATTGTTTCAGCAGCACTGGCAGCATGAATGGTGTTGCCCTCGGGAATGGATGCAAAGAGACCATGAAGCAAACTGTGGTCATTCCCGAGGCTTTGAAGAGGCTGAGGGTCCCTGTGTGTGTTCAGAGAAGGGAACGGAGCTGAGGGAGCTGGAAAGGGGCTCAGCCTGTAGAAAAGAAGCTCGGGGGGAACTTCAGGCTCTGCACAACTCCCTGACAGGAAGGGACAGCCAGGTGGTTTACCATGACAAGAGGGAACAGCCTCAGGCTGTGCCAGGGGAGGCTCAGGTTGGACATCAGCAGGAATTTCGCCATGGAAAAGGTGCTCAGGCACTGGAACTGCCCAGGGAGGTTTGGGGTGCCCATCCCTGGAGGTGGCTCTGGGCTAGGGACAAGGTGGGGATGTGGCACAGGCTGGACTCGGTGATCCCGGAGCTCCTTCTCCCCTCAGCGGTTCCCGCGCCGGGCCCGGCCGGTGCAGTGCGGGCGGGCCCCGGCAGGTGGCGGCCGCTCCCGCGGAACCGGCGCTGCCCGGTGCCGCCGCTCCGGCCGGGAGCGAGCGCGGCCTGCCAAGCATCCCTGGATTGCCGGCTCTTGTACACGCTGCCCGCAAAAGGCATGTCGTGAATGCGGCTGCAAAAGAGGAAAAACAACTCGCAGAGGCACAGCCTGACAGAGTAATTCGTTGTTTCCTATTTATAAAAGGGCATCTCATGCAGGCTGTGGACTGAAAAGGAGGTTGTAGGTTTGACACAACCACCGAGTCAGGAGCATTGAAATGAACTGTGACTTCAAACATCAACTGTGACCTCCTATATTTGGGAAAGGTTCTTCCCCCAAAGGGTGCTGGGCACTGCCCAGGTTCCCCAGGGAATGGGCATAGCCCGAGGCTGCCAGAGCTCCAGGAGAGTTTGGACAGCGCTCCAGGGATGCCCAGGCTGGGATTTTGGGGCTGTGCAGGGATAGGACCTGGATCAATGTGGGTCCCTTCCACTCAGGATATTCTGTGGTTCTACAATTCTCAATTCCACTCCTCCACAAACCCAGACTCCCTCCACTGTCTAAACCTGCACTAACCAACTGTACCAGAGGGGCAGCAGCCAGTGAGTTCAGTTTGGAATATTAAACCCAAAAGCTTCATTAAAAATTGTTCCTGGCCTACAGACTTCCCCAGGTGCATCCATCCCAAAGCCCTGGTAAAGAAATCCCTTCTTTAGCTGCAATGCTGCCCACACCACAACCCCCCAGTGAATGCTCACACACAAACCCAAAGAGCCCCGTGTTCATTCCATGACTGTCTCCGCATTGTGCAGGAACACTCGCTGCTGTATCTGCCAGGGCAGGAGCTGCCCGTGCCAGCTGGCAGCTGCTTCCTTCCTGCGGCCTCCTCAGGGCACCACGGCTGCCAAGGCAGTGGTTTCTCAGCACCTGTACTCACAGAAATGCTTCCACCCTGCTAATGCAAACACACAGACCTCGTGGGGCACATTTTGTCCACTTTTCCCAACAGCACGTTGCCAGCACTTTGATCTCAAATGCAAATTCAGCTCAGATCCTTTTTAGGATCTGCTGCTACCCAGCAAAATCAGTGCCACCTAAAATCTCTCTGCAGATCTGTCAAGTTCAGCTATTTTAGCTGCACACTGCTCTTCACCCACCTTTCCACATGTGTGAACTGACTACCAGCTGGCCACTATCTCTGTATTAATCACCCTGAGCAAACATCTCAGCTTTTCACCACAGCTGCAACTGTCTGGTTAAAAATAGCCCAGATTCCAGCTTTCAGCCTGCACCTCATTGTGTGTTTGTTGTGTGCTTCAATGGCAGCTCCTCCATCTCACCCCTTGGTTCCTGAATTCCATTGTTTCAGTTTTGCTTTGGCCAAGGATGTGTCATCATCTGTGAGCCCTGACAGTCCTTTTAAAATGAGGCAGTTTTTGGTGCCTGCAGCTGATGCCAAGGAGAAGGAAGGAAGGAGCCATTGGAACATTGCTGCACGCATGGTCAGAGATTCCCTGAAAAAACCCACCCTTCTGCTGCTGGGGGAGATTTGGGTTTATCTGAGCGTTCTTTGCAGTGGAAAGTACTCACATGATTCCACAGAATTCATGGAACCACAGAATGGATTGGGTGGGACCATTAAAAATCATCTCATTCTGGCCCTGCCATGGCATGGGACACCTCCCACTGTCCCAGGCTGCTCCCATCCCTGTCCAGCCTGGCCTTGGGCACTGCCAGGGATCCAGGGGCAGCCTCAGCTGCTCTGGGCACTGTTCCAGGGCCTGCCCACCCTCACAGGGAACAATTCCTTCCATGCATCTCACCTAAACTTACCCTAAAATTCAACGTAACTCTGGCAAGGTCATTGCTCATTAAGTGTAACATTGCCTTGATCAACTGCAAAGGGTGAATATGTAGGTAGGACTGAGGGAGGACTCTGACACTGAACAGGGAAAAGTGTGCTCATTCTGACAACAGCTACACTCAGACCTTGTTAATTACACCCTCAGCAGTAGCACAAACAATTATTCTATCGCCTTCATTTTCACAGAATATTTAATAAGTCACTGGAGTGAGGGATTTCATTAGTATGTGGTTACTGCACAAAAGACACTGGGGACCATTTATTAGTGTAACCAGGAATCATTATAAAAACAAAAATCACGACTTCTGCTAAGTCAAAGCAATGAATTTGCCTTCAGTTTCTTCTTACTTCTTTCATCATTTCGCCTGCCTCTCAGTTAATTGTGTGAGCAGTAATGGGGCAGCAGAGAAAAATGGAACAGCACCTGCATTTCACAGCAGTGAACCTGCACAGCTCCCACTGCTGTCAAACCACACACATGGGAATCCCTTCCTCCACACCACTCATAAGGAGAAGCCAGTTCTCCCATCTCTTCACGCTGTGCATAAAAATATTTAGCAGACTATAAACTGTGTTACATAAAAGCCTGAGCCTCCCCTGGAGAGATTTCCACATCACTGAGAAGATCCATGGGCTTTACAACAAAACCCACGTCAAGGAGATCAAAACCGCTGGCTTAGCAGAACTTTGTGCTACAGTGTTTCAACAGATTGCCAATTGGAAATAAAACTCTGGAGAAAACAAGGAGACAAAATGAGCCCTGAGATTGCACCAGAATGACACAGCCTGATTTGCAAATAGATGAAGCAGAAGGCAGGTGAGGACTTCACTTGCTCTGATTTCACTTTCCAAATGAAAAATGAACTAAATGTGCAAGCTATCAATATTTGTTTCCAAATCAGAGGCAGGGAAACTCTACCAAGTTTTAGGCTGCAGAGTCTATGATATTAAAGATTAAAAGTCTCCATTCAGGGGAATGTGCAGTTAGATTCTGAGAGAACACACAGCTGAGGAAGTTCAGCCCTACCTGCCATAACCCTCCAGATGCTGAAAGAATCCTGGCTCATGCAGGATGTAAAATGCAAAAATCACTAGATCATCCCCAGATTCAGCATTAATGTGGATAACCCAAGGCCAGGCACAGAAAGCTCACATTTTCTTACTTGTCCTCTGAGATCTAACAGGATCCCAGGCCAAAGTGTGACCACCAACACACCTGGCTGCAGGAGTGCCCATCCCTGGAGGTGGCACTCAGTGCTCTGGGCAGGGGGCAAGGTGGGGATGGGGCACAGCTTGGACTCCATGGACTCTGAGCTCTTTTCCAACCCAAAAGGTTCTGGGATTCTCAGCAGCAAGGCCACCCTATAACGGCACTGAGCATTCCCTCCTCCCTCCCACAGAGA